CTCAACTGCGTTGACTTATTCATTTATATTTGATTTTTGCGATTTTATTGCGCTTACGTATTACGTATTAAGCTCTTAATATGCAATATGGTTTCAATATTATAATATTTGAATGATTGTTAAAAACTTCAATGCATAATGAAATTCACTTTAGGCATTTCGTTACTATTTCTCGTTTTAGGAAATGCGAAACAGTAATTGACCTGTCAAAACAGAAGAATGCTTTGCATTTTGTTTCTTGTTCTCCTGAATCAATGTATGTGAATAAAATTTTGTAAATCATACGCCCCATCGACTTTAAAATTTACCACAATACAATAATATAGTTAGGTGGAGAGAGAGAGAGAGAGAATAGACATTCAAATGCAAAAAGCATTTCAACAACAATTCAAGCAAAAGATAAAGAGAAAAAAAAAATAAAAAAAATAAAAGAAGTTTACTAAAGTAAACATATTTGACTTTTCTTCTTTTTTTTTTTTTTTTGATTTTTGAAAAAACGCTCGAACACCGTAAAAAATTGATATGAGGAGACGATACAATGAAGTTTGTTTTAGGTTTCTTCCTTTAGGATTAAAAATTTGCCTACAGAATATGTAAAGAAAGAGTCTTTAACTTTGCATACACACTCTGTAAAGTAAATGACTCCCTCTTATCATATGCATTATGCAAATTTTTTTACTCAAACTACATGTTTTTCCTATCAAAGTTTTATAATCTTTGATTAATTCCTATTCCTTAGGTATGGCAGAGTGAAACTACTTAGGGAAATCATCGGACAAAAAGCCGAACAAAGTTTTGTGCGAGAGAGAAAACTGAACAAAAAGAAAAAAAAAAAAAAAAAACAATCGACCTAATTGTTTGGATCTAAACTTTTCAAAGGCGATTAGGCTTAGACTCAATAGTCGCTTTTGAAAATCTTTTCCTCTATTAAACGGAATTCTCGAAAAATCTATCACACTTTTTCAAATTACTTTCAATGAAAGCGGAAGATTCTTTGTGGCTTTCCAAAAATCAAGCAATGTCTTCACCCTAATGATGTTTACATTCGAATAAAACAAAAAAGTATATGCTGAAATTTAAGAAAATATTTCAAATTGGACAAGAGCAGAAATATTAATACAGAATTTAAAAAAATTACACAAGTGTAAGAAACGCCTATGAGATGCGGTGAATCGCCTCATAAACATAAGCAACTTGCCACTTCATAATGGGCAAATATCTGGGATTTTTGAGCATAACGTTTTCAGATAATCACTCTTGGACTGCCGAAGAACTGAAGAATTCCATTCAAACTAGAGCTAACTTTATACGCTACGTTACTTAGGAAAGTCTTTTTCACATAAACACCGTTGCTTATCTTAGCAAAATGCTCGTTTTAAGCAAAAGCGACATATGGCAACAACGGCAAATCTAATATAAATATCCTGAAGTGATCAGAGCCAATACATAAGCTCTTCGAACATTAAGAAATAGAGGGCAGGGGTTACAAGGCCCAATTATCCCGAAACTACTCAACTCCAACAATTAAAATACTCGGCGAAGATATTAAAAGAGCTACTATTGCCCAAAAAAATCAACAGATACCAATCCGCAATTAACTGTTATACCCATGTTCCAAAAGAAACAACCATTCCCTTACACGTCTCCTGGAAATCTGAATTTAAAACACAATGAGCTTTAAACATGACCTCTTATGACATTTCACCTTCGACATAGAAAAAAGAAACTAAGCTAAATTTCGCCTTCAGTCAACTGATCACAGAGAAAACTCACTACATACACAATAATCGTTGGGATTTTGTTTTTACCGGCGATGGTTGCTGAGGCCGCAAGAAGATCCAAGTTAGCTATATCCTACACGGAAGATCGCCAATATTTACGACCGAAGTTGGAGCTGTTCTTCAAGCCGCAAACCTTGCTTGCAGAACTAAGCGTAAAACGAACATCACCTCAAACAGTTTGCCGATGATAACAGCCATCCGTAGCCCAACTAAAACATTATTAAAAAAACATGGAATAGGTTTGTTAGGAAATGAACGAACAAACCTCAGCACCAGCATAAAAGGAACTTTTGACTTTCAAAAGTGCCTTAAAAGAAATATCAAAGACAAAAGTGCCGAAAGAAATCGACAGTGACACTATCCGGACTACTCGCATATTGGTCTTAATTTCGTTGCACTTTTCGATTAAGATCAATACCACTGCAAGATAGATTTACGCCGACCGTCGAGATTTTAAAAGTTCACCGATATTTTTATTTATTTCATTTATATATCATTTTTTAATGATATAGTAATAGCTACATATGCCCCGTTCTTTTTTCCGGGGTACGCCCATTTTTTTTCTTTTGTAGCAAATGGGATGCTGTCGATCTATTTCTACGAACATCCGTTAATTTAACAGATAATTTTGCGAATTGTCATAATCGGAAAAACGAAGCTAGGAAGTCGAAATTTAGCAAAAATATTTTTTGATCAATTAAGAATGCGATTTGAAAAAAAGAAACCCGATCTGGCTACACATACGTCCACAGTGGAAGAGGAAACTAAAAGGGGGAGGAGGAAATAAAACTAAATTATCATGCTCTATAATATTGGGCGGGTGCAGCGTTTACCGTCTTTGGGCATCTTAGACGTGTCCTTTTAACGGTTTGAATCATCTTCAAATTTTTTTGTAAATTTAGGAAAATGTTTATCACAAATACTACACAGTTAAGCAGACGGGCGGCGGGACGCACGGACATGCTTAATTGCATTTCCAATTTGAAACTGGCCAATAGTTTATATACCTTGTCGGGCTTTTGAAGCTTGCTTCTGCGCCTTACAGAGGTACTACAAAAATATACATGTATATATATTTATAAACTATAATATTGGATAGGCGTGGTCAATACATCCCAATTCATCATAGTAGTAATTTAACATAAAAAAATTAACTGTATCAAATATGGACCATCTCGGCTTATTTTTTAGATCCTACCCTAATAACGATTTGCACGAAAATTGATCCTTTGTAGGGCGGAAAAGTGTAAGTTTTACCAAGTGGTGATGGAAATTGACCCATAATATTACAGTACATTTCATACAACAATGAACTCTATAAAATTTGGAGCATCTACGTCTATTTTTGGATCCTGTCCTATGTGAAGGATTAAACTTATACCACATTAGATCACGTTTTGCGCCCGCTTCCCCAAAACTACGTATATGAAAAATATAGAAACAGAAGATATAATCTATAGATCTAGAATAAAAATAACAATTGTGTTCGACAATGTGGTGTAGGGTATTTAATTGTTGCCTTTGCCTTACTATAATGTTCTTACTTGTTTTATGCCAACTTTCCTTCGCATATTTTGTTTATTTTCTTTTTCTTTATTTTTTATTACATATTTTATTTTGCAATCTAATCCAAAAAAGAAATAAGTAAAAGTTATCGCCAGACGAGATAAATAGCGGAGGCTCACATAGCCCAATGGATTATTTCCATTCGTACAGTACGGACACAACGTGTAATTATATACAAAAAGAAAGTATATAAACTTTATTGAAATAATGCAAGGAACGAAAATGAATCAATTTCTGAACAGAAGATTCGGTATATATTAGGTGTTTGCAAAAATGTTGATCACTTTTTCAGTTCGAAAAGGTGTTTATTGTGGGATTAGATTAAGCTGAGATTGTGAAAATTTTATAAAAAAAATCTATTTTTATAATATTATACTTTTACGTTTACTTTTATTTCATATAAATATAATCCTAAATTTATATTTTTACCTTTACTTGTATTTTTTTTTTTTTTTTTTTATAAATTTGCATAAATTTTTTCGCAAAAAAAAAAAAAATCCAAACTCACTTCAGGATTCAGGATTCCATGCAATTCTGAGCAACGATCAAAGTTTTCGAACAACCATTCCCTACGATGAAATCGACTTTTAACCAAACATCGGCTGAAGTCTCACATAATAATTATATTTCTGATTTCAGCATTTACTAATGAAGACCCAAGACGAACAGTATTTCTTGGTATGTTTCTGCTTGGAAATGTGGTGTAAACGTGGAGATTACAATGCGGAATTGAAAAAACGTTTAACTGAAAGTCTTAATAATAACTAATAACAAATGGGTAGAGAATTTTTGCCACTTGTCTTCTCATCAAGGTCTTTGTGAAGCGAAAGTTTGTAAGTGTTCCCGATAAGGTTGAACCCGTTGAAGCTGACTTACTGTCCCTACAAGAATACAAATAATATTGAATCACAGAAATAATATATGCAAAATTGAATTACGGGAATTGAGTTAGAAAAGTGTGAGCTAAACTTGACCAACCAAATCTCGTATAATCATCTAAAGCAATAAATTTTAAACTTATTTTGACATTTCTGCCTTGGAGAAATTTGAAATATGATCCTGAAATCACTTTTTCATATTCATCTTCATTAAAGAGAATAATAATAGTTTATGCACTTGCTTGCCGCCTTCAAGTTTCTTCTGAATTTTCATTATCTGCATTTATGAAAATTTGCCCGCTTTCTAACAAAAAGCATTTTCGGTATGGAAAGGTCGAGGTCGCTTTTTTTCTCTCTTAACCTTTGTCTTTTAATGGCGGCCGTCATACAACTTGATAACCACAAGAGCAAAATTAAAAATAACCAAGTTCCCGAGATTGAAAGGATGTGCATACCATAATCGATGGAATGAAGATTAGGAATACAATATAGAGTTTCAAAAAGTGTTTCTTATTTAATCCCTTTTTTATTATCTATGAAATGATTTTTTTTTTTATCTTTTGATTTTTGCTTAGCATTTTTTTATTTTTTTTTTTAACTTTTTTTTTTTTTTTTAGGTTATAATGTCAGTCACTCGGAAGTAATTCATTAGGTGTTTCTTTAATTTATTTTGAAAGAGACTATCAAAATCTTACACAACTCTGAAATAGTCATGTGTATGTACATATATAGAGAAATTGCAAAGTTGTGCATGTTTTCGTTTTTTTTTTTTTTTTTTTTTTTTTGTTTTTTTCTTTTTCATTAACTTCCTCTCTCTCTGTAAGGAAAATAGTTGTTTGGAATTAGGTTAAGGAGAAGCGCAGACTTCTCAGTTTTTCAATTTTTTGTTGTTGTTTTTTCCTCATTTATAGTAGTACTAAATTTTCTTTTTGTGTTATTTAGCAGTAGGGATTGATGGAATGTGAAATATTTCAGCTTAATATCGTAGTACTTGTGCATGTACGTTGCTGCCGTAACCATTCCACGAATTCATCCAACATAACGGGCCCTAACGGAAAAAGCAAAAAAGAGAAACGAATTTAATTTATTAATCGTTTACAGAAATCAGCTTAGCTTCCGTAATTACATGCTCCGTCGATGTCATAATTTGTTAAATCGATATTGATGGTTCGTGAAAACTCCAAAATGTTACACCATTGATCTTTGTTTATGACTTTGTACTTTGACTGATCCAGGAATTGGGCAAATTGTGTATATAATGGCCAATGTTTACCCAATAACAGCTGGAGCATAGCTTTAGCTGTCGCTGTATCCATACTGCGTTGATCAGAGTCCTTTAGTGTCCAATGAAGAAAAAAACGCGAAATTTATATGAAAATAATCAAAACAATATAACGAAGGAAACACCGACCTTGGCGAAATCATACGCATAACGATATATACTTTTAAATACATTAGGATCGTTGAGTATATTTTTTAAATAATCCAGCTTTAATTGCATTTTAGCAGCTGAATCGCATTCCAATTCAGTTAAACCCTTAAGCCATTCATATTGACTAAAGAAACCCATTTGTGTGGCACCCATTTTATATGCCAATACTAGCATAACAACATTCTCTGGTTCTACGCCAATATCTTCACAGAATTTTTCCATGCCATCGGGTCCTATCCGCCATGCAAAGAATAATAATAATTTATTAAAAACATTTCAAATAAAAGGTTAAATTTAAATTTTCGCTCACCTAATGTGTCTGGTTCATCGGGATTTGTGTATTCACGGAACCAGGCTAAACATCTTTTATGGCTGAATGTATCTTCAGCTTTGATATGACGTCTGGAAACATATACAAAATGCTTATTAGAAAGTTTTCTTTTTCTTAATACTTAAAACTATTTCTTTAACTTATTCATTTTCTTATATATATTTTATTATCAAAAATTTTATTAAAAATTCCTTTTACAAAGTGCTTTTTGAATGATTTTGTTGATTTCCTCGTTTGTTATATTGAATAGGATGTTTCTAAAAATAACTAGAAATCATGACATTGTTTTTAATAACACAAGCAATTGCCAATTCTTTTTTTTTTTTTTTTTAATATAACACTTGCACAAGGAGACAAGCAAATAATAAAAACTAAAAACTGTTTTTATGGTTAATGTAGCAAAAAAAAAAAAAAAAAAAGACTAAACATATGTTGATATTTCTGCAAAATCTTCATTTGCATAAGAAAAATGTAAATCCGAGGTACGTTCGCTCGAAAAACAGGAATCTTAAATAAGAACTTTCTAATCAAATCAACGGGCGTGACTATTGATATATTTAATCGAAATGTTACGAAGATAAATTAATCGATCGTATGCTGCCGATATTGTTCAAGATTTTATGAAAACTTCTAAATATTGGAAATAAATTTTATGGAATGTAAAAAGGAACTCGAGCTATAATTTTAATGTGCAGCACACACCAACTTTGCCCAATAGGATCCAACAGGATAATTTGTTCAACTTTTTTGAGAACTATCAGTGTGTCACCCCGCTTCGATTCGATTATCAATATTGTTCAGCAAAATTGTAAAAAGATCTCCTTTCGGCAGCTTTTCAAATTTTCATATAACAATTTAACGATTGTGAAAGAGGGGGTTCATTAGACTTTTTGCCGACTTTTAAAACCCTGATTTATGTACGGACTGAAAAAGGAACAAAAGATTTCATGTTTTCCACTGAACTTTAAGCAACAATAGAAAACAAAAGTGCTTCCATTTGTAAAATTAGATTACCGAATTAGTTGACCGAAGTAGTTGAGAATTGAGAACAAATTTCTATTTATAACCACTTACCTGCTTGTGTTCTGTGTGGTTGTGGTATTCATTGTCGCTGAGGAATAGTTATTACGTTGTCTTTTAGAAGGCTGACGTTCATCTTCATCCATTTCGTGATTAATACGACGTCTACCGCGAGGCATGATCGACCTATAGGTAAAAATGCCCACAGATGTTTTAACTACAATATAACAGGAAAGGACAAGAAACTCGTTGTTGCAGCTTCAGTTTCTGCTAGTTTCAATTTCTACTTGTGTTCCGCTTATACTGAAATGAGACCTAAAAACGACAGAAGAGTAACTATTTTCATTTCTTTTTTTTAATTTTCTTTCCCTGAAGACTATATTCTCGATAATTATGGAAAAAAAACTAGATTTAAAAAAAAAAAAAAAAATATATATATATATATATATATATATAACTTAGAATTTTAATGTAAGCCAAAGCATAGAAACTTAACTTACCTGAAGATCTCTCCTTTTATTCTTTCTCTTCGAGTGGTGTTTAGTTCTTTTTCAAATTTATATATGAAGCAATTACCAAAAAAAAAAAAAATAAAAATATAACTTGTACGACATAAAAGTAATGCCTGAAAGAAAATACAAAGAACATAGAAATCAATAAATTCGAAAAAATAAAAAAGTTCTTGGTATGCTTGAATTTTCCTCACCAGCAATTCTAAATTCACATTCGCCCTTCACAATTGCAACCAAAAACACTAATCAGTGAGTAAATCAAAGGCCGGTCGAAATGGGTTAATTTAGCCGGTTAAGAAATTACACAGCCTCCCAGTCACTCTTTGGACCAATTAGATTTATGTGCTCGGTTGCTTTCTTTATTTTTCGCGTTCAATTTCTGAACAATTTCTGTTGGTTTTTCGTTTAAAATAATTTAAAAAATATATTAAGCAATTTAATAAACTTCTTATGTATAATTAACACACTAAGTAAAAGTCGAAATTTTCATTTCACTTTTTATTACGAATAATTTTTTTTGAAGTCTTCTCAATACCAGCTGACTAGATGACAGCTGAAAAAAGCCGTATGCCACTCGAGACGTGTGGAGATTTTTTTTTCATTTACCGACCACACATACTTACATTTCTCGTAATGGCTTTTATACTCATTTTTTTTTTCCTTTCTTTACTGAAACATATTAAGCTTACCAACGATTTTTTTTAAAAACTAAATTTACTTGGAATTCGTTTTAATTATAGAGTAAATAATAACAAAATACAGGAATTTACCCTTAATTTACATGGCAACAGTAATTCTATTTAATATTTTGTTTTTTTTTTTTCTGCTTTAGCAATAGTGGAACCTGTCTCTACTTGACTGACATAAGATTGCCGTAATTTTACAGTAAAAGTGGATTTGTATGTGGAAAAGGGAGTCACTTTGTAAAACATTATCATATGATATTGCAAGGCACGTTATATGTTATTTTCTATTATTGGTTAACATCGATAACGCCAGATGTTAGAGTAGCAGAACGGGAAATGTTAAAAAGAAATCCATTCATTCAAATCATTTTAACACATGGCAATTATCATTGTAATTATCTTACTATGATTTTATGATAAGCATTCACAAATAATAAATACTCTTAAACCAATTAATTTCCATCTTCACTTACACGACGCGTACTATTTGTTTCATTTTCTATTTATATTGTCAACAAAAGATGGCAATGCCCTCATAAGTGCGGCGAATAACATATAAAGTATTATCAAAGCTTACAATTTTAATATATGTTAATTTCAAAATAAAAACTTCTTGCACCGATTCAACTTGGATATGTAATAATTTGATCCAGCGAACGAAAGCCTTGAAGTTTTTAATATTTACACTGTTTCAATTGCAAATGAAATTTTAGCCGAAATTGCGAAAATGACATTTTAAGTAAAAATAGAAATTTCAAAATTAAAAAATGTCCTTTTGTAAATAACGTAGGAATTTCGAAATAGAAAAATATCAATTGAAATTACAAAAATTTTGATTGTGTTTGCGCCGGTGTATATGTGTATGTGTACGTAAAACGAAAATCCATTTGCAAAATTTAGACATTTATGAATTAAATACTTTCTTATTATTATTATTATTATTATTATTAATTTCGCCAGAGAAATAAATTCTAAGACTAAAACTCTTAAAAGCACTAGCATATTTGTATTTACTTTCCAATTTACCTACGATATAGAAGAACGAAATTCAAAGTTCATCTTTTCGTTCATCCATAGATTTCAAAAAACAGAATCCGATTAAAATGGAAATTTGGCGATAATAGATCAAGATTGATTGATAATATTCCGAACATAGGTCATCATTATTTTTGTTAAACTCAATTATTATTCTACATTCTTCCTCATCAATTTTTCATCTCGAAAAACTTTTAAGAACAGTGTCTTCAGTTTTTAAATACTGAACCTGTTATTATGTTTTTAAAAAAATATAAGAACTTACGTATTTTTGATTATGTTCTCACGATTACTGTTCCTTATGCATCGTTCTGTTTATTTGATATTATCGTAAACTTATAAAAAAATAATTATTAATAAAAATAAATTGAAAATTTAGGAAAAGTTATAGGCAGCTGTCAAGATAGATCTTATAGATAGAATTCTCGTCTAATTTATAACTTGCCCAATGCCCATATCTCGAACTTCAAAAGCAAAGTAAAGTATTACTTATTATTATTTAAAAAGCTCTGTTACTCACACTTACACTTTTCTTGCCTAGTATAACATTTGTTCCTTCATAATCAACACTCTTTTCATCTCGCTCGCTCTTTTATTAAAATTTTGTACAATTTGAATGAATACTTAGGTAAATTACACTCTCTGAGAGGGAGAAAATATGGCTAACATCAAATCTGCAGATTAATCAGCGGTTTTTATGTTGATATAATATATATATGTAGCTATTTCATTCATTCGTGTGAGTTGGTTGCGTCTAAAATCCCAAGCGGATTGTGTCCTAGATAACACACTACATACGGCATACGGTATGTTATGGCAAATTGCATATAAATAATAATCTGGCAAGGCTCCGAGTAAATAATATGATTGTTTACATACATCATTTTGTTATTATATTTTAACATAAAATATTAGTTAAAATGTCCGCATACGAGGTAGTTAATGTTAGTCGCTTAGTGTTGAAAGGAGAAAAAAATAAGTAATTATAAATTGTTATTATTTATTCTTATTTTTATTGTTAGACTGACTCAATCATTTTAATTCTTATATTTTTCTCATAGAAAAAACAAAAAGCAGAAAAAGGAAAAACAACATAGGGAAACTTCAGTTAAGAAGCGCAAGATTCAAGTTGATGAAGAAGCTCTGAAGTTTGGAGGATGGTGGAAAACTACATTGACCTCGGAAATAACCGGCACTGTAGCCATACAATTTGGTGAACGGTCTTTTGTAAAAGCTTTAGATAACGGCTTATTTACATTAGGGCCGCCACATCGCGACGGCGATGGACCGGATCCTGAAGAAATATTTACCGCTTTCCCGATTAATGATCGAAAAGTCTCATTTAAATCCGGCTATGGTAAATATATGAAAGTAGAGAAAGATGGAATGGTCACTGGGCGATCAGAAGCCGTTGGTAGCATGGAGCAATGGGAGCCAGTTTTTCAGGATGGTAAAATGGCTCTGCTTTCAGAATTGAGCTTCTTCATGTCAATCGATCCGGAAGATGATGCATGCGTTGCTTTACGTAAGAAAGTTACAGATTTAGAAATATGTCAAGTCAGATGTAATGCAGCGCGCGAAGCTATCGTAGAAGAAGAACCTAAGGAAGAAAAGGGCGATCTAACTGAAGTGGAAAAGAATTATGTGTATGCAAAGCAAAAATTTTACATTGTGCTAATATTTTTGTTTATTTTTTCTTTTTCTGTTTTTTCTTTTATATTTAGAAAAAAGTTTCAGAAATTCCAAGATAAAAAATTAAGAATTAATACAGATGACGTTAAAGAATTGGAAATGGCAAAAGACAAGGGCATTTTACATGAAGCTTTGCTAGATCGTCGCAGTAAAATGAAAGCGGACCGCTACTGTAAATAATTGTTGTTACAAAAAAAGTGAAATGAACTTTTACCAAGACTTGGAAATTTTAAAATATATACATGATACAAGATATTAAGCAAATTTGTATGAAAGATGCACATTAATTACGTTCCTCCAAAACGCGCTTCATATTCTTAAAAAAGGTTTAAAAAAAAAGAACGAAAATTAAATTTCACGTATGCATTCAAATATATATAAATCCTGGTCATAGAACTTCAAAAAATTCTTAATATGTGTATTTGCATATAGGAAACATTTAATCAATATTTTATTGACAAATTCAACACAATGGATGAAATGCAAAACTACGAACTGACTATAGTATAGTTTAAGCAACAGTTTCAAGGAGGCCATTGGCACTGCCGGAATGCCATTGTTATCCTTCTACAATCGTAAACTAGATGCAGAAACATTATGGGTACATTATCAATTTTTTGATTTGGATATACGAAGCTCACATATAGGGCACATAATGTCAGCAAATGCATCTCCATGGCTATAAACAAATTTACGACTTCGAGATAGAATTTAGATGGACAATGTCGCTACATAGAATCATCCAACACAGATTATCTGCATCTTTCTAACTCACACTATTTGAAGCAGTCATCATTTAGATTTTGAAAAACTGAAAAATAATTTACTTTTGAAATAAAAATGAACGTGGACATTGGAAACCCCTTTCTTCTACCCAGGATTAAGGAAGGACAACTTATTAATTTTACAGTTATAATATAGGCATGGCGTCCGATAAGTTTTTTCCCCGCCACTCACCGTATGACCTAAAGTCGGCTATGGTTGTAAACATGCAGTAATGTTCGTTTATGGCATCGATTTCAGTCGTCTCACAGCTCTTTCAAAGTACGTTCCATTGGTGACAAAATCTCTTTTAAAATCTTTTTCTACGCCATCCAAGATGGATAGACAAAGGAAGCATTTGCGGAATGTTGGGTTTCATTGCTCTAAAAAAAGGTAGCAGTTCAAAGGGCCCTGCAGAAGGAGGTGATACTATGACTATTATAACTTAAGAAATTTAGTGTTTGCAGGTTTGATTTGCAAGATCGCAACCGGCGCCCAGCTCGGACGCCCGATATGGACCCCATTAAGCATATGCTCACTGAAAATTCGCGATATAGCTGACGTCACTAGCGTTTCTAGAGCAACGGTACGGACATGCCACCTCGTGATTTCACATCCAAAAAAAAAAAAGAAAAAAAGAAACTTATAGGAAACAGCAGGTCAAGTTCACTCATTATTATTTGCTTGGAGCTCTTGCAAGATGTAGCGCAAAAACGTAAAAGTTAGCGCAATTCGTTTACAAAGTGTTTAAAGATTAAGCAAACATGGGAGAGGACAAAACACAGTCCTGGGAGAAAATTACAAATATTTTTCATATAATTTTGTAGACTGACCCTAAACTACGAAAAAGCCGAAATTCATATATTTACCTAACTAACGAGCTAATCCGCCAAGAAGAACGGGATCCTTGTCGTAATTGTTGTAATTAATTTTAAGTTATCGACTACTTGTGACATTTCAAATAAGTAAAAGTCTTAAATATTTAACACTTGATCCCACAAAAAAAGTGAAATGTGAAATTGTTGTTACATTTTTCATGGGAAAAGTGATCAGTGTGTTTGCCTGTAATGAAAATATTTAAATGTCAAGAGTTTAGTCACTTCAATCGAAAAAATATATATTGCTACAACACTTACCCGTTCCATTTTTCCTTACTTAAAATTATTCTACTTATATTGTACTTCATATTTATTCTCATATCGCAATGGGGAAGTTTGCATCTATATATATATATATATATATATATCAATATAGAGCCTCGAAATTATTAGCTTCGTATTAGACTCACTATCCCTTTCTATGCATTTAAGTGCCAAAAAAAAAAAAAAAAAAAAGAAAAAAAAAATCCGCAATACTTTGATTAATGGAGACAAGTTCCATTAACAAGCGGCCTGGCTAAATATTTGCTTTTCTTGTTTTAAATTCAGGTTTAGTCTCTGAAGAAGCAAATCAATCTAATTCATTTGCGAACCTTCTAAAGCGTTTTCTTAACGCTGACGTACTAATTGTTTTAAAATAAAAAATTTTTACAGACTATTAGAGTATTTTGCCAATGCCTTCACCATATTTAAGTTGTAGACGTCCGTCCTCCCCGAGTCTTAATCAATACCTATGCAAATTTGCAAAACGTGAAACAAAGAACTAAGACTTTATACGAAGACTGCTACTCAATTACCTGAAATCGTCTTTCGAAATAATTTAAACTAAACAACAAAACTTACTTCTTTCAAGCATTAGCTTACAAAGATTAGCTATTATATATATTATATATGCATATGTTAATGAACACATATGTATGTATAGATGTATATGGATATATATGTATTTGTTTCTGTGTATATGTTTATGCATATATGTATGAACATGTGTATGTGTAAATATATATATATATATATATATATATATATATATATATTGATACGGACAAGATGGTTGTATATTGATTATATATGATTATATATATATATATGTATATATGCATGCATATCTATCGATTATGACATTGAAATGGACCGTATTGATTACATACATATATACATATATCTATTATTTATATAGGTATTATATATTATTATTATTATTATATATGTATATATTTATGCATGTGTATTGATTTTGATATTGATATGGACCATTTGTCATTTCTCATACTCATGGGCACTGGCCCTATGCTTTGACAAACACATATCGACGAAATTCAGATTCATTTCGAACGGGACTGACATTTTTAATGATTCATATACTAATTTGGTGTTTTGCCAAAAACACCTCGCTTTGTGTTTTTTTATTATGAACCAAACTTTCGAAATTTATAAGAAATGCATTCCCGTTAGCATCGTAATATGAACGGAAAAATGTAGAATAGATGCACTTTATTAGAGCTATGTAACGCAAAAAATAATTAAGGATGCATGGGGTAGAGTGCAAATTCAAAAAATCACGACCCTATACCATTCGGTGTGGCTGTGAATCTTAGAAAAAAGTATTATGCGTCTGTAGCATATCTTTTGAATGCCCCGAACAGGGCATATAAGCTTTATAGACTTTATGGACAAAGTTTTAAATATCTTTGATATCAATTGTTAGTTTTCTTTTTCTTGGTTTCGTGATATTTTGAAATTCGATCGGAACGATTTACGCAAAAATATACTAACGACAGACAAACAGATGGCGGATATTGTGAAAACGACAGACACATGATGCAAACGGAATGAGGAAACTGATATGCACGCATTATTATTTATTAATTATTATTAATTTAAGAGGAGAATCAATTCTAAGATTAAAGTCTAGTCTAAAGCACTAGCATCATCTAAGACTATCGGCCTTAACAAAAATAAAAAAAAAAAATAAAAACTCTACCGCACTACTCACTGAACAGATCATAAATAAAATTGAACAATTTTTAAAATGTGAAATATTTCTGAACATTTCATATGGATTTGTCCCAATATGTTTAAAACGTAAGTTATTTGCCAAAGTTCTAAAGAAAAAAAAAAAAGTATAAATTGAAAAAAAAAAGAAAGTTAAAACATGTTTGATAATAGATCACCGTCAATTCATCAATGCCTGGAAAAAGAAATGAGTAAGTACTGTTGGTACTCGCAGCATAACATTTTTAAAGTCTAGGAGATCATGTGTTGGGGGGAGGGCACGGGTCAATTTTTACTACTGCCCGAAAATGGAAGCCAACCAAGTAGATGGATGGATGAACGTAAAACGTGTGTATGTATGTGTGTTGAAAAAAGTTATGAAGACTTTTTTTTTTTTCCTTTCTTTCTTTCTTTGTTTGATGTTAAAGCCAATCAATGAATTTTAAATTGTTTTTGCTGTTGCTCTTATTTCTTTTTTTTTAACTAAGATGACGCGAGGAAGGAGAGTTTTTAACGCCATTCTTTGCAAACGGTTAGAGTTGAACGAGAAACGTTAGTCGTAGCTGAGTATTTAACGAAGACGTAGAACGTCGAAGTTTTGTACATATACATAAAATTTTGAGCTGAAGGAATTGTAGTTGTGGTTGGTGGTGGTGCGTTAAATTAAACAAAAGCGTAGATGTGTTTTATATATATATAAAAAAGAAATGAAATCAAATAAAGATACGAGAGAGCGTAGAACGTAGGAGGAGAGTTGAAAGAGCGATCGATTTATATATTTAGGTGTGGTACAGTTTCTCTTGCCTTTCTGAAGATGAAGGAGAATATAGAGCGTGTCGTTTACGGAGTTGATGGCTGCTTTGCTTGCAGCGTTCCGCGAAATAGGAAACGCGACTTTTTTTCTTTGTTTTAAGGCGTTGGTTGTCGTATTTTAACACATACAGACATATAACGTAGTCAATGCAAATAAAAACGAAAATATATATATATAATATAAATAAATACAAAAATGCTGTTAAACTTGTTGAAAACAAACGTATTGGCTGGCTTGGGTGGTCATTTAGTTATATACATACCGACGATTTCTGTGGCGTGTCGCTGTTCGTTGTACATGTGCAAATACGTAGAGCGCGCACACAGCGTTGACTGTAGCAGTGTCATAAGCTGCAATTATAGAATTTTTCAAGTAACAGTGATCACAACAACACAAATAAAAAGACGATGAGATTATTGTTTCGTTTACTCTTTTTGAGTTAACTGATTCTTTCTTGTTTTTGTTTTACTGGAGAATACTGTGTTGGTTAATTGCAGATACAGTACAGTACGGTATATATGTATGATTACAATGAGACTCAGAGAATGAGAGCAATTTTTCTTTTACATGAATTTAAAAAACTTGTCGTTTATTCTGCTTAAACATGTAGATCAGAAGTTTCTTTTTTCTCAGGTGAAACTTAACGTAGCTTTTCGCAGATACTTTCGTTTAACAGAGTAAAAAACGCGATTTACTTTTCAGAATGCGGAAAATTACTTAATATTTAACGAAGAATTTTTGCTTTTACAATATATCTCTCTGTATGCGCCGCGTCATGATGTTTTACAATTTTCTGTTTTTCCTCTTCAACAGGAGGAAGCCAAATAAAGTGTTAGTTGGTAAGGGAGGGAGGGGCTTTAGGGATTTTTTTTTTGTTGTTGTTAGAGATTAGCTTATGACTTATACCACTAGGACGTTTCATTTATTAAGCGTTCTGTTGGTTTGAGTAGGGTGAGAAGGGAGATTGACTCACAGTAGTATATGATAGCGTGTATATAGTTTTCTTTATATATAAGTTCGAAATTATATATCGAAGATTAACGCAGAACGCACTTACAAACGATTGCTTATAGTAGCTTATAAGGACTTAGAAACGATGGCCACCCATCGGAGAGCGGGATCTGAAGCGTCCACCACCCTGGCTGCCACCGAAGGAACGGCCTCCACCACTGCCGCCCTCGCGACCATAAACATCCCGTCGACTGAACCCACCATCCCGACCATATCCACCTGAGCGACTGCCACCTGAACTGCTGCCATAATTATCGCGACTGTAGCTGCTGCCGCTAGAACGCCCCATACTCGAAGATCCACTATAACCGCGATCTTGATAACGACCTCCACTAGAGTTACGTGGTCTATAACTACCACCGCCGCCACCACCACCACCGCCGCTACGACGACCACCGCCGCCATAATCGCCGCCACGTCCACGTCGATCGCCACCCCCGCCGCCACCTCGCTGACGACGCCCTTGCCTCGGACGACCCTTGCTGATTTCAACACGCAATTGCGAACCCAACAACTCAGTGCCATTCAAAACGTCACATGCCTTTTCGGCATCATCGCGATGCTCAAATTCGACGAATGCAAAACCTGGTGGATTGAATGCTATCCAAACTGAATTTAATTTACCATATTTCGTGAACTCTCCTTCCAAATCGTCTTTTTTGATCTTATCTGTCAAATTTCCAACATACACACGCGTTCCACGTTGATCACCCATTATTCCTATGCTTCCTTTTTTATTTCTTTAAAAATTTTAAAAACTCTTCTTAAATTTTTTTTAATAGCGACAAAAAAAAATTGTATTAGCGACTGAAAAACACGTACACACTTCAATCGATAAATGAAAAATGTATGTATACTTCGTTTTTCCTACTGATGTTAAGTTGGCTGTACTTGTTTAAAATCGGACATTTTGTTTTCTTTTCGTTTTCAATGAAACAGGGTTGTATTCAATGCTGTTTGACAAAACAGGTTTTATAATCCAACGATACTTTGTTATTATGAAAAACGAAATGTTACAGTGCACACAACAATAATGCTACTACAAGTGCATTCATATACTGTTATAGTTTACCTAACTACTGAAGAGAATCAATGTGTTTATGTCGTATAGCAATCTATAAAAATTCTTGTGCATCTTACGTTTACTTGATCACATAACTTGCATTGCATTACTGCAATTTGATAACTAATCGAGAAACATATTATTGTACTGCATGCATTTGCTTGGGCAACTAAAACAGGGATGATATAAACAAACAAAACAAAATCATATGCTTAATACTTCAAGCACCACATGATTTCCATATTAATGATTACTAATTATGGCTGTAACTGATTATTAGTACAACAATATAAATCATTTACTATGCTAAGTTACGAAGAAATGAATAAGAGTCTTTTACTTAAGAACATCACTTTTTAACGAAATCTAATCACATGTCCATTTTTTTAAAATCATATGATTTTGTTGTTATAATGAAACGCAAGCTGAATGTTCCACTTGTTGAATGCGCTGTCACGGCAGCAATACGCTGCTTTTCATTTCTGCAACTTGTCAATCTTGTAATTGTATCACAAAATGACTCTTTATGACGACGTTGTAAGCATCGGAAGACTTGCAAAATGAATGCACACATATGTAACAATCACGCTACTTTAATCAAATAAATTATTCAACGTTCGTATATATATATATATATGTATATATATATATGTATATATAATATTTACCTAAAAATACGTCATTATGCAAGTTTATCTCATAAAAAAAAGCACAATAGAACTACTATTGATCCTTATTCTCAGCACTAATTATGTATATATTAGCTAACTAACTTTCATTTGAAAGGCGTATCTTGCAAACTATATGTGTGATACAATCAATAATAAAATCATAAAAACGTAAATAAGAACGCAATTGTGTAAAATTTCATATAATTTATATGATTTCATATTCTCATTTCTTGGGAAAGCTTTGAATTGCGTACTTGAATTTCAATCACTTTATTTTCATTTTATACAATACATTCACACATTAACGTATGAATGTACCCATTAAGAATGTATAATGTCTTAAAATGAATTGCAAATCAATCCTGGTATTGTATTATGTAAATAAGAGGCAAATTTTTAATTTTCACAAAGGAAGATATGCAGATTTTTATTTCCATTTTTCTTTGATGCGATTGGGTGATCTCTAACGGGCAGAAGTTAAATCCTGAATATCCGGATTTTGGACTTTATACTGTACGCAAATGTTGCAAAGGGTTGCACAAACATTTGGAAATTTTCCCACTTTCCTTGGGTCGTATTTGCTTTTCCGTATTTATATTAAAATACGCTTTCCACCTTGAAAAATATATAAGTTTAATCCATACCATTTGAAAAATGACTTTATTAGTGAGCTTTAGATATACCAATGTATCTCTTAACAATATTTCCCGCCTTGAAATGCATATCACTGCATTGCTATTTTAATGGGATAGGCTGAAGTTTTGGTCCGACGTCATTAATCACGGCTCTTAAGGGCGTTCGCTATCATCATAAAAGTATTTGAATGGTGCAGGGACATAGCGCCTGATATTATTATTGCTTGTTACAAAGAAGCCAACCATTACTTTGATTTGCGTCCAATGGTCTTCTAAGTAAGCTCTTTCATTGGAATGCCTCCACTCATGCGAGTCTTAAGTTGATTTAGGAAATCTAAAGTTTGTTGTTATAATGTTCATGTCGTGGTCGCACGATTTATATGTATACAGCAAAAATATAAATGTATGTATATATATATATATATGTGTAGATTAAATCACCACTATTTCATTCAGGCAACGCTTGTCTTTTCAGCTTACGAAAGGTTCTTCATTTTGTGCGGACTTACGGCAATAAATGTGGGTTCCGTCTACGCATTCAATCGAGAGTCGGTCAACCATAGTTTATTACACAACAACGTGTTACAAGAAGAAAAAGACAATGAATTACTTATTACCTGAAATGCCGAATGTTCTATAGGAATACTCTTTTGTATTAGCATCAATATCCCACCAAATCAATTCCTTGCAAAAGTTTTTTGCATTTTTTGATGTATGTAAATTCTGCTTAAGCCATCATTTGCACTAATTCTCCTTAAAATGTATTGGAAGGATTTTTTTTTATACGCAAAACTTCTGCCAAAATATACATGTAACAATATGTATATTTTAATTTACATTGTTGACAAACCTATATATTTATTTACTTACACGTTTTCGGGTGACGTAAGAGGATTTGAAGCGGGTCGAAGTGGCGTTTTACTCTTTACAGGCTTTTACTTTCTGTTAATCTCGCCAAATACTCTATTGCCAAGTAGCATAACATGCGCCGGATGTATATATATTTCTCATCATTACTTGACTATTTGATAATAACATTTTACTTACCTTTTTTTTTTGTTTTATTCAGGGAATTGTATTAGCCACGTTTTCGATAAAACCAATATATCCAACAAAGTGATGAGTTTTTACTTACATATATTCCTCCACATTATTATTTTTTTGGTAAAGTTGTTGCTTATTTTTGCGATAATTTCGTTATTTTAAATTTATTCGAAAACCATATGTTTCTATTAACATTTTCCTGTAAAACAATGTGGCAGCGCGGTCGCCCATCATGTTTGCCAGTTAGGAGTTTTTAACATGAGAATGAAAATGACGTCGCATTATGTTAGTCCTCTTAGTGATGCATATAAAAAACTTTATTGTAAGCACTTGATCTTTGATACTACCTATGCATGGCATTAGTTATGTTTCGTAAGCACAGTGGCTGTGATAAACGTTCTCTCATAGCTGTCAAAACGCACAAAATTTAAATAGCTCATGTTTTTACATTAGATGATCCTTTTCGCAGTTAGTATTACCTTCTTTTTAATTCGTTAATTTTCTTAATTGTTACAATCAAGCTTTTCATAAATTTTATTTATTATGTTTACTCTATTTTGTGTATATTAATTATATTCATTTTCTTTTTCTTCTTCTTCTTCTTGTACAATTCAGCAATTCAAAAGATAATTCGCTCTATTGAGTTTAAAAACAATATATGACTGATAAAATTAAATTAATATTAGTTTCTATTGATCTCGTAACCCTTTCATATTCATACCAAAAAGGAACTTATGGAATATAGGCTAATTACATACAATTTATGTTGTAGTAGCGCAACTTTGACGTTTTGATTCTAATTTCTTTTGAATTACAATTTTTACTCGTATTCAAATATGCATTTCTTTGTCTGCAGTTAACGTTCAATACATTATTAATGTGTTGTAAATGCAACCCTGTACTATTAATATGAATACAGTCACTTTCAATGGTTTGCCATTTGCCGCCATTGTAACAAATAATTTAAGATAACAAAACTACTAAACTGATATAAACCGAATCAATTTGGAATATAAATTTGAATAAAAGAATTATCATTTAATAGTGAATTGTGGTGAAATAAAGTGACAACTGTAACTTGAGTAAGTTATTGCAATGTATATATGATTTATATATATATATATATATATATATATATATATATAGACATATATTTATTTATTTATTTATTTATTTATTATGTATTTGTGTTTGTTGATAATTCTCCCTTTAGTCAGACATAGAAAATTGAATATTTTGAAAGTACATAAGCACCCCAAATACTTCATACAATTATCAGAACAACGAAAGAGTGCACACATACATACTTTCACACAGGCGAATCGAACCACCCTCGGAAAGTATGGAGTGTTTCTTGTGTTTACTCTCAACGGCAAACTTAAGCACATGTTTGATTTTCGAATAATTTAAGTATTTCCGAGAGAGAGAAAGAGAGCAAAATTAAACAGTCCTCTGTGCATTTACTGTTGTTCGAAAAAGTTTGCATACATAAATTGAACTAAGGGAATCGGGGAAAAAAATGCATACTCATCATGAAAATAAATCTTTTGTCTTCTCGGCCTTTATTTCATTGATTTTTCATTAACAGATCATTTCATTGTCAGATCAAATATAAGGAAAAATGTACTTAAATTCATCATCAACATCATCATCATCATCATCATCTCTAATTATGTTTACGTGCTGATCACCGCAATCTTGAAACTTTTAAATAAAATCTAGTACATATCTTAAGATACATATATATATATATATACATATATATTATATGCACCATTTATTTATCTTAACTTTATTTTTTTCCAATGCTTAAGTTTAAATTTAAAAATGGTTTTTTTTTTTTTCTCACTGTTTATGAGAATATTCGATAAAATGATCGTATATTGATCTAAATAAATTATGTTTTTTTTTTTGCCCTCAATACTATATATCATTATATGACAGTAAGCTTTGCACGAATGTTTGTATAATCAAGTCAACGTGTAATATGAATTCGATTTGATCGTCTAATGCGTTTCACGAAAATATTTATAATGTAATGTAAACTACTACACAAATTGCTAAGGAAAGAAGTGTATGTGGATTTTCTTGCCTGAGAGTTTGCGACAGTGTGTTTACATTTTACAAAAGCACACAGGTTTGTTATTCATTTTTTACCGGCGTTTTACTCTTTTTCATTACACACTACATAGAGAAAGCATCACAAAATTTATTATTTCATATGCTGTATCTATGTGTGTTTACGTGTATTTTATCACTTTCTCAGCTACTGTAAATGTGTGCAGTTTTTGGTAGAACAGTTATGCGAGCTCGAGCTCGACTATATACAAATGTTAGAATGCGAAGCGTGCTTTAGTTTGAAATTGTTTTCGTCGCGTCTATCACTTAAGTGCGGAAAGTAATTACGCAAATAAAATATAAAAAAATAAAG